ATATATATATATATATATATATAATTTAAAATTTTTATTAGAGAATAGATTTAAGATTATTTAAGTTTCAAAATCAATACATAAAACTTAAGTAAAAATGGTAAGTGGGTAAAAAATATGACATCATATATGCAATAATACAAATAATAAATGATCAATTTTTAAACGAATATTTGATGGACAAACAAATCGAATATACATCTGGTTAAATTCTATTCATTAGTAAACTCGAATACTAAAAAATATTTGTTTAGTGTTAAATGAACTACTGAATTGAATATGACCGAATAGTTACTCAAATAATTATCGAACTATTTGTTAATTATTTGGTTCATTTCCACCCCTAATCACAATTACTGTCCATCTTCTGGCAGATGTTCAATTTTGTCCCTTTTTTCTTATTAGATATTTTTTCAAATTCAAAATGAAAAAAAATCTGTAAAATATAATGCCCTTGGACGGTCTCGGAAAATACGTTTTGACCTTATTGGTGTGCAAACATTTTTTCATGGCTCATATTGTCTCCCTTATGCATGTATGGGAGTGCTGCAAATAGTCTATTGTTGCAGTAACTCAGTTACATGAAAATAATTAAATTGTCGGGACACAGTAATAGGGAATAAAACACCTAGAATATGTGGTAACACATAACTTGTTTCTCGAGTTTATTCCTTACGTTGTTTATAGTACTCAGTCATGGCATTGTATGCATGTAGGCGGAACATGATATCTTGGTTTAGATTTATTTGTATGGAACAATTTCAGAATACAGTAGATAAACACCAACATAAGATTGCACTTGTACCAAATGCATACAGGACAGATATTGACTGGTCACTGAATGCTAAATATAGAAGAGGGCTGGGCACTCTCATTCGCCTAATCAAAGATGAACTTTTCAAGATAATGCTCTTAATTTTAATAGCCAAAACCAATTGTCATAACCTAAAACACTGGGTCTTCAACTGCATGAAAGGCGGGTAAGTAGAGCAACATAGTGAGGAAACACCGGGAGAGAAGTCTCTACTATATAATGTTTGAGATCTGTAACTAGAAATTAGAAAAGAAATAATGCATCATACTTGCAGATTTTTGGAGGAAAATCTATAATAGCCATGAGTATTAGCTTCCATTTCCTTCAATGCATATTGGCACAAAACTTTGTAGGCCATTTGGACCCATAGACTGATATTGACCTGGGCGAGTTGGCTACCTGAAGTGATTCATTTGACGGTTATATAATATATACCTTCTGTTCTAAAAGAGTAATTAGATTTAGTTCATGGGTTAATCAAGTCACCTGTTTGTAGACTTTGTATTTGAATTATTGTTGCTGTTATCATTATTGATAAGTAATACGACTTATTCAATTTCTCCCTTAGATATTTTCATCTCCTCCCTTAGATATTTTACTCAACTCAATTACCTGCAAAATTTGCCTGATGTAATCATTTTTGTGTGGTATTTGCAGGTTTTTTTGGTGAATTGTTTTCTTTGCACTATGAGGACTTGTAAAAGTGGGACTTCAGAGGTGATAGGAGAATACAACATTTTTGACCTCATATATTACCTGAGTAAGGTTGGAGTTGTTAACTTAATTCCCTCCCATCATTGAACAGTCTAATACCATTACCTTTTCCCTTTTGCTTTTCATTTTCAATTTTTATTGGCCTGTATGTTTTTGGAAAAAAATAATGCTAATTGTGAAACGATCTGAATTTTGATGCTCTATCTATTGCAATAAGAATCATGATTTCTGCTTTTATTTGTCGCCATGTGATAAAATCTACTCCTTTTTTTTCCTTTCCTCTAATGAGGCTATTTCTAAATTTCCGAGGATTGTCAAAATAATCCTGAAACCAATGAATCTCACCAGACTTCTTGGAATACATATTGCCAAAATAGTGTTTTTCCCCCTAACGACTGAATCTGCATGTGTTAGGCTAGAGAACATCCTGAATATTCTAGAATTATATCTGATAGACATAGGTAGGCATATTGATAAGATTCAAGGAGTTTTCATGCCATGGTGGATGTTGAAGGCAGTACCAGATATTCGTTTCTATCTAGACAATCCAAATTACCTTCTATTTGTTTAATGTCAAACATCAGTTGATCCTGTCAATGGCTTGCTCTGTTTACATCTAAGATGTGATAAACTAATATTCTCTGAATTGGCTTCCTAAAATCTCAATTCTCTATGCTATTGCACCATCAACTATTTTTATGCAGCTTAAAAGGTTTAGATACACAAAGGTTCAGTATGCATGAATTAGCTTGAGAATGTTACACTCTCATGCAGGTTCCTGGGTTTCACACAACTCACAAGCAAAAATGTGCAGGGTTTCTATTAGCACAACACAATCAACACAATTAAGAAAAAAAGACGATTTGAACCAGAGTGCTTGTAGCCTCCTATCAGATTAATGTTTCCTCTAAAATATTTCATATCTACCATGTCTCACCATACATCCATAGTGAAAAGGTCATATCAAAATGCACTCCGGTTACCAAAATGAAGAAAATATTGATGCAATACCCTTGACAAAAAAATATTGTGACAAAAGACTCTGCACAACACAACATATTGCACTCCTCTTGTTCTGGTTCTCCTCTTTTTCTTTCCCTGTCCTTGCTTTTGCCGCCTCTCCTTGAGTTACAACATGCATAGTCAACTGAATCATGAGTCTGACAAACAGTTCTTAAGGCTCTGAAGATTCACAGATGAACTTGTAACTACTTTCAATATCGACACTCCGACTAAGTTCTGTCTAGCTCAAAGGAAATGGGAACAAACGAGAACTTTCAACGGTGACAAGTAGGCTGAAAACGGTATGTAGGATAGACTATCTAAAAGGCTGGAGGGGAAACAAATTTCTTGGACAACCTTGTCCATGACATTATTTCCAACACCGAAGTAGTTATTAAGATCAGAGCGAGGTTAATACCATACGTCACTTTCCAAGCATTTCCTGCTCCTCCAACTTGAATCCCAAGTACAATATTGACTGATGCAAGAAACAGAGCGAGTCTCCCAACCCAGTGATGGTACCAGTTCCAGTACTTTCGGATCTTAGAGTCTTTATCGGGGTGTATGAAGAATGCAGTCACCTGAGAAAAATATATTATATCAAAATTTGATGGGAACGGAAAATGATGATATATAGCAAATAAAATGGCTTAAATGTTTTCTAACTTTCTATTATGTTTAGTTGGGAAAGAACACATCATTTTTTGGTCTGTAGAAACAAAAATTTGTCGCCCCAGATGAAACTAAGGCAAGATTCCAGCTAACTAAATACAAATAGATAGATGAATAAACAAAATATATTAACTCAGTTTGAATCAAGTTAATCAAAGTCCGAAAATAAAAATTCAAACCGGCAGATGTGATCTACTACACATGAGCTAATGTAGAAATAAAATTTTACAGAATTTTGATCTGATCTACTACACATAAATCATGTGTAAATTGGCGAAAAATTAATCAGCTTTATGACAATTCTGAAGCGTTAGATTTCGACGACATATGGTACATGAGTTAATGATGTTAGAAATCCTTTAAAATTTCATTTCCAGATCATATATACCCGCTCGGATTTTCATTTTCGGACTCCGCGTTTCAAAATTGTGTTGATAGCATTTGCATGTTGAAATAGCCCAACCAACCCAACTCGGTACGCAGTTATCGAACCTCCAAGGAAAGACAATCTAAAACCAAAGTTCGTCATAAACTAGTCATCCAAATTTCAATTCAAATAAGCATTGAACGTAACATAAACGCATGGGGGTCCTGATATACTTCCCACGAACAACCATTATATGAAGAGGGCATTTTGTGTGTAAAATTCAAGTTGAATCATAGCTCTTAGAAATGTCATTTGGCTCACCTGAAGAATACCAAGCACGAAGACGAAGATACCAAGTCCCCTGTGTGCGAAAACATCTGAATGCAACTTATTATACAGTGAAATCCCCGCAACTACGCCAGCAAGGCCTATGATAAATCCTGCAAACTGCATGATTACATGGATATAATACCATAATGGATCCCATCCTTTGCCGTATCTTGCTGTGATTGCCCCGATTGGCAGAAGAACACCCCAACCAAATATAGCTAAGGCCCCATGATTCCTTTTCAGCTTGTACGGATATAAAGAGGTAGGAGGTGTACCTATATATAAAGGAAGTTTTAAAATTGAGCAGGTACTTCAAAAATGATACCGAGGCCTTCTCACTAGTACAGACTTTTTCCAAGTGCGTGTTTTTTTTTTTAAATTTGTTTGTTTGACAAAAGATTTCAAGTTGATAGCTTCAGCTGGTAAATCGGAAGGGGCTGCCGCTTTATCACTACGAGTAGTGCAAACTTTCAAGAAAAATCAATTTGTCAATCAAAAGAGGAATTTTAGCGCACACGTCGAACCACTTATCATATGGAAAGCATGCGCATCTGAACGCGGATACTTAAGAGCAGCATCAAGCCCTAGTTAACTAGAATTTGTACCCATCTCAATATATTATTAACGTAGTTAAAAGAAGCCACAGACAGGTTTGGGCGACCTTAGAAGTAATATATGATCCTTGCTAACACTTACTTTTCAAAATTTTCCTCTTATATATTCATCCTAGGTATTACTTCTACACCTGCCCATTTTTAAACACAAAAGTATCCTATTTTATTGTTTTTAACCATCAAATCGTCATGTCATGTCAAAATATTCCGAGTTAGGAATTTTTTTTTCCGCATAATATGAAGCATCATGGTAACAGAAAGTAGCACTTCTCGCAAGCAAAACATGGCAACAAGACAAAGTGCACTCTGTTGGCCATAAATAAATAACAATGATTAGATGTGCAAACCTCCTGAAAAATCTCCTGAAAAGTCGAAGGAAATAGATATCTTATCATCATGTTCGGTGAGCTGATAGTTATTTGGGGTTGCGGTTGAAAAAGCAAAGAGTAGCTGCTGCTGACTAACAGGAGACGAGAACTTCAGTTGAAATGCTAAGTAGATGTTAACTCCATAAAGAATAATGGCCGGTTTTACATTTGTTTCTGTCAATTGACCCTCATTTATAATGACTTCTGAGCTTGATTGGCCCCTTAAATAGTATTGTTTGATATGTGCTCTGCCTCCTTTACCAATGAAACCAACCATTGCACTTGAGCCAACCATCATACCATCATTTGAAAATCCTATACCAATCCATCCAGATGTATATACAGCAGAGAGTACAATGTTTAAAACGTTATCTTGATCCTGTGAATACTGCGAGTGATAGAAATATGGGAAGGATTAGAACTTGGGTGCAGTGATACTGAAACAGGACGTAATGGTTAGTTTGTCTCAAATGCGTGAAAGAATTCATTGGTTTCAAAGGGGGAAAGCTGAATCTTGTTTATGATATATTTTAGAATAAAAAATGGTTACAAATAGGATAAAGGATTAACTGCAGATACAGACCAATCATAGAAGGTAAGCCACTTTTTATCCAAAAATGTTCGTTTAGCATTCAGGTCCCCTGGTTCCCACACTAACTTCTCTCACCTATTTGTAGATGTACAATTTGTAGGATGTATGTTCAACACATAACAGAATATGGGGGTCCCTCTACAAGACACTGAATTATTATAAGCTCTCTTCGCACCACGTTAACGTCGGATGATACCCACACGATGGGTGCAAATCGCGAGGAGATGACTATATTTGGATATGAGGGCATCAATTCAAATAAAAGCGTTTAGGGATAACAAGTGGCTAACCTCCACGGTAGGTCACTATAATGGACATATCTGCATTTAAACCTAGTTAGTATAAAATGCACATCCGACGAAAAAAAGGAACAACTACACATACTGGAAGAAAGCACTAGACCTGTCTGTACAGGGGAGAATAGGGGAGAAAGGAAGGTAGGGGAGCCTATTCACCCCGTTCAAAAAGCTTTTAGGGAAAGTGTTCCCTCTAATCAATAGAAATTAACACCCCCCGCAAATTGGGATAAAACCTAGGGGAAGTGAATCCCGTTACCTTCCCTTTCTTCTCTCCCATATTGCTCCCTTAATTTCCCCAGTGATATCCAAACACACCCTAATTAGAAGAGGGGAAGAAGAAGTAAACCATTCTTCCTTGCGAGTCTCCTCTCCTTGGAACAGTGCCTTATAATATTTTTCATTTTAAACGTATATGAAGCTAATATTAATTATTTAACAAATTGAAAGACATCAAATGGCAGACTGAGAATGCTCCGACAAGAGATGGTTAAAGCCCATTTAATATTGGATCCAAATCGCTTGTCAGGCACTCATATTCCCAGTGTATTTCATAAATTAGACGACAAAACACAACACGTTTGGATCCCAGTAGTAAGATCCACCATGTTTGAAAGTTGTTACTACATTGAAAGGAGAAGGAAGAAATTACTCTCAGAATGAAGCTGTTCCAAATGGGTTTGCAGCTGAGACCAGAAACATTGAAAGGAGAAGGAAGAAATGTGCTCAGGTCAGAAGCACAGCTATCCGTCTGACAATACCCTTTATGGACCAAAGCAAGAAGAAGCAGGACAGAGGGAGCAACACTAGCCATTGAAAGCAGAATCAGAAGCTAGTGAGGATTTGAGTTGCTGTAATTTTCGCTGGTTTTGTCGTCGTTTTGGTGGTTGGTGGTGGTGGTTGTTGGTGGGCAGTTGCTGTTGCTTGAAACTGAAGGTTGAAGTTGAAATCATGACGACAATGGTTAGTTCTTATGAATGGGGGTTGGTGGTGATGGAGAAATACCATCATGATTTCTTGATCACTCTCCAACTCAATTCATTCAAAAACAAAAAGAAATGATAATAATTCGTTCGCTTCCTCTCATCAGCGGGCCGCAATGGACTGGGCGTTGTCGTTTTCGTGGGCTTATAGTTGGGCCGAGCTTCACATTGGGCTTTCTAAGTGCTACTAATCAAGCAAGAAGCATAAACTTATATTCTATAAAATTGCTTTCAATCACAAGAAGGGCCATTAACACGGCCGGGGGGGTGGGGGACCAATACCAATATAATTATCATTGTAGCTTCATAATTTAACAAGTTACACAGCCAATGAATGCCATAAAACTAGTTTACTTAATACTTTTACAGGTACAAAAGCAGAGCTAGCAAAGATTGTCACCGCTTGCCGATAAAACCATTTCTATGCTATCCCAGGCCAACTGGTCTCTGTAGTTACCTTCTGAAAACGTTAGATAGGTTGAATTAGCTTGAGCAATGATCCTTCGCTAATTTTATAGATAGAAGCCGTCTTCTATCGGAAAAGCCTTGGCACTGACCTCCTAGGTACCTTCCCTTCGAGTTTCAATCTTCTATAGGCTTCTCTTATGTGACAAGGTCGAATTGGTCCAGTTTCCATTCTTTCCATCATAATTGTCCTACCTATGGAACATTCAAGACAACAAGTTATGAAATACTCTGAAATTAGAGAGTATGAAGCAGATTACAAGAAAAACAAGCAATACTCATTGACTAATGGAACAATCACCACTAAGTTTAAATTTACCTGTCTCAACTAGCTCACCAACAAACATTTTTGCTATTCCTGAGACAACGATTGTCATGGGCATGGAAATTTTTTGACTCCCAGTGATGCTCGTTAATAGCTGCGAATAGAACAAAATCATGGTGTCATGAAGTAAGTAAGGTGCATCAGTACAATAAGGTTCTCACAAGATTTGATAGGTCTGACGCATAAGGTGACCTGTAACCTTAATCAATTTGAAGAGAATAGGAATCAGTGAGGAGCAAAAGAATTCAGTTTTTCTAAGCCATTGCTGTTTTAATCAATGGTCTTTGATCCAGATGTGAAGGAAAGATGACTCCACTGCAGGCAAGCAAGCTAACCCAAACAGCATCCACAGAATGCTTAAACGTCCAAAAACCTATATGCTTTACCTGACATGTGCAATTGACAAAGAGGTTCGATGATCTAATCAGATTTTGAGATAGAGCAGGTGAATTTTTTTTATGTCACAGTACAATTTAAATAATTAGCTTTATGTCAATATATCTTAAAAACATATTGTTAACACCTGTAAACATGTCAAAACGAGCAGTCTCCCAAAAAACCGTGAAAAAACAAAAGGAGGAATCAAGTAAGTAAGATTCTGAAGTCAGCAAATGGAGCGCAACATAAGAACTGATGCTTATGACATTATTAGAGCAATGGTTCTCATTATCCCCATGAAAAACCATAGAAGTGAGCTCAAGATCTCAGTGATACCGAAGCATCATACCACGGGTCACCCTCAGTTACAAGAAAATAGCAAATCCAAATATATCTGGGGGAGGTCAAAAGAAAAGCTGGCAAATCAATCTTCTATAGGCTGTAGCATAAGTCTAAACCATCATTTTAAAAAAAGGGAACACGTATATAACAACATGACGGAATAGTGACATGTCTCTCTTAAGAAATTTCTTCATAGTATACAAACATTAGCAAGGAAGAAAACATACTCTTCTCATATTAGACTTCTGAAAGCCAGATCTCCTAAAGGATTCATATCTACTCATTTGTTCCTCTGTGAACTGTGATAGTATCGCCCTGCGAGCAATGCATTTATGCAAAAAATTAGAAGGTGAAATAACAAAAAAATTAAATATGCAAAATCTACAATTCAGCTTTTAAAGTTTTGGTCCATGCTTGACATTGGATGATTATATCACAATTATGGTACCAAATACTTTCTCAACTGCAATAGCAATGGATGAATTCTCAGAAAGTTTAAACTTCATAGTCATGGCTATGGGTGACAACATGGCCCAACAACCCGCTAACCTAATCCGACTGACCAAATTTTTACTGTTCGGATCGTGGAACCATACTTAATAACCTACTATAGAGGATATAAATCCCAAAAATAGATCCGAAACCTTATCGGATGTAGATATGGACCCTTCAGGTTCTAGCCATATAGTTGGACAAATATGTAGATGATTCAGTTCACTTAGTTATAGTTAAACCATCTCTTTCCTTTTTATACATGATTTACTTAGTTCCTATGCTTGAACAGAGATTTAATGATGCTAAATGTAGAAAAGTAAAACTTTTGTAAAAGAAAACTTCATCGGACTCTAATTGTAATTGTTCTTAATAGTCTTGTAACATTTCAGAGAAATATAGTGTTGTGCGCGGCAGAAGCTCGAAAGCACACGAACAAGAACAAGATAAATCACAACCAATAAGCCAAACACAATACTACAGCAAGACAAACGAATTTTACGTGGTTCGGCAAGTTGCCTACGTTCACGGGGTAAGAAAGGGGGGGGGGGGGGGAGTTCTTACTATTAGAAATCAAGAGAATACAAATAGGGTTACAAATCTCACCAAATAAATCTTAGAACAAAGCCTCTAGATCTCTCACAAATCTCCTACAATTGGATGCAACAATCCCCTCTCAAAAATCGCTCAAAACGTCGTTGCTTAACCCTAATTGATTAGGATTAGGCTTATATATTAACTCAAAACGAAACGGGTCAAAAAACCAACAGCCCAACTCAGACCCAACTCGCGGTCGACCGCCGCACCACGTGCGGTCGACCGGACAGAAGAAGAAAACCCACGTAAACTAATTACAGGGTCCGCGGTCGATCGCCGCGCCACTCGCGGTCGACCGTCAAAAGTCCAGAAATAATCCTTGTCTTGTGCACGTTCGCGGTCGACCACCGCACCACTCGCGGTCGACCGTGCAGCATCCAAACTGATTCCTGCTTCCCGAAACATGTTCTGATCCAAATCTTTCACCAATTCTACAATTCTCCACATCGGCGAACGTTTCTACCAAAACTGAGCTGACACCAAAATATCCAAATGTCCAACTTGTTGCGTCCAAGACGAAGTGGAAACGACCCACAACAACAGACTCATTCCACAACAAGTCGGGAACCCAAAAGAGAGCTCAAACGATCTCCCCCATCGAAAATCAACAAATCCAACCGGCTGTATCAAACATGACTGCCTACGTATCCTCTTGTCCAAGGAACCAAGCCGAACGTAGTTCACCCAAATGGTCTCCAAAGGCTCTCAACACTGAAGAATGTTCAATAGCTTCAAATAATGACCAAATTTCACACCTGAAACAACTTTGGTCAACATATCCGTAGGGTTGTCCTTCGTGTGGACCTTCTCCAATATGACGTCTCCATCATCCAATACGTCACGAACAAAGTAAAATCTGACATCTATATGCTTCGTGCGTGCATGATAAACCTGGTTTTTTATCAAATAGATAGCCAACATGCTATCACAATATACCCGAAGAGTCTCCTATGCAATCCTCAAGTCCTCTAACAATCCACGCAACTACAAAACCTCCCTAACAGCTTCAGTCACTGCCATATATTCTGCCTCTATAGTAGAGAGAGTCACTGTAGACTGAAGTGTACATCTCCAACATACATGTGTTCCTGCTAATGTAAACATATATCCTAAAGTAGACCGGCCCTTGTTAAGATCCCCGCATAGTCTAAATCCACGTAACCAAAATAATCCTGTCTATTCTTCTCACTCTTCTGGAAAATCAATCCAACATCCACGGTGCCTTTAACATACCGTTGTTTGGGGAGAAAGTTGATTTCTTCATTGAGGTACTCATTACAACTTTAGTCGTTACAATAAAAATACAAAAAGATTATCTTTTTATAAGACTCTTACACAATAAAAATACAATTCTCGTCAAACAGCGTAGATATCGTTTATCGGTCTTCTGCTTGCGTGAGATCTTGGCCTGTGACGGGGACGTTGATATCCGTGGACCACCAAACGATCAGATCAGATCCAGAACTTCGTTGATTCGCGAAGGAGTTAAGAAACCGAAGCGATTATCTCAGCAACAACGAGATAACCACTCTTCTTGAGATCACCGTAACGGGACGATCTCAAGGAAAAGGAACGGGCTGCGGATCTGTCGAACTCTCCTTCTTTATGCCTGAAGAACTCGATCCGATCTTTTCCTCCTCTCTGAAATTCGTGACTATTCAGTCCTCAATTCGGCAGGGCTTTGCCGACGCTCGAGAATTCCAGATCTGAAAAAATAAAGGCCCTGGAGCTGTATTTATAGGCTTCGGGACCCTGTTTTCGGATAAGAACGGCTAATTCCCTCTTATCCTCAGGTTTAACCACTTAACCACGTTCATGGATGATATCAGATTAGTTAAAATAAATCCGGGTAGTTAACGGTCGAAAAACGGCTTCAAAACAGCATTTCGGGTCTGTGGACACCCGTGGGTGTCTCGGCGTGGCCGAGACACTCCAGGTGTCTCAGCCAAGCCGAGACATCAAAGAGGTGTCTTGACTTTGGCTCAGGGCTCGGTCTGCGCGTTCCGTCCGTTTTCGCCGTATTTTCATCATCCGAACTCGGAATCACGCGATTCAGAATGCGTCGAAAAACCGACGAGGAGATCTACAAGCTCCCATGATCAATGTTACATTAAACGTTGGGCGCTTCTAGGCGTCGGACTTGGCGCCCAGCGCTTAGTCGCCTAGGCGGGCGCCTAAGCGGTTTCTGAGCGTTTTTTTTCTTTCTTCATTTAAGTGGTGGTCGATGAGGTTTTGCTGAAGGTCGGAGGAGGTAGTGGAAATGTTCATATTTGGAGGTTAATGAAGTTTGGAGGACGTATATGCTACGACACATAAAATCACAATCAAGGCCTACAGGGTGCAATCTATGTAAGCAGACATTGCTCCCCTAAACGCTCGTAAAATCTAGGTGGGCAATCTAAATACCGCCTAGGCGCTAGGCGCTAGTTAGGCGGCCTAGG